GCGCCACGGGCAAACTGACCTCCCCCATTGGCATAACCTCTCCTCCATTAAAGCCGTAAAGCGTCGTGGCTACGGGCTTCAGCTCCACATTCAGCTCCTTGTTAACCTGCACGAAACAATCATAAAACATGACATCCACCGAACTCCCAGTATCAATAAACACCCTCTTCACATCAATACCCGCGACCTCCGCGGTTATCACCAGAGCGTCATTGTGCGGTAAAACTACCCCCTCGGCATCCTCCGCCTTAAAACTTATTACTGGCATGCGCGTTGTAATCCCCACCTCCTCTCTCTTTCTCTTCACTGCTCGCGCATGCTCCTTCCTCGATCTGTTCGAGTCACCATCTGTCGGCCCCCCAGAAATCATGTAAATCGTTCCTCTTTTCAGCGGGGCCCCTCCTCCTTGTCCCTCTCTATCTCCCTCCTTTCTCGACCTTTTTCCTCGACCATCCCCTCCATCTTCTTCCTCATCTCTATCACTTCTCTCCTCAGAATCCTCTCTACATCTCCTCCTGCCCTTTCCTCTCACCCTGTCGTGATAGAAAAACTCCTTCAGATATCCTGCCCGAATCAATCTCTCGATCTCATCTTTCAAATGCCTGCAGTTCTCCGTGGTATGGCCGTAATCCTTATGAAATCGACAATACAAATCCGACCGGGGCCGATACGGGCCGGTGAACCTTGTCTTTGGCCAAGTTACGTCCTCAGTAGACATCTTCTGCTCCATAGCCTCGAGCACTTCCGTCATATCTTTCCTCAAGGGAGTAAAGTTGTGGTACCTCTGCCTCTCGAACACCATAGGCCTCCTCTGCCATTCATCTCTCTTTTCCCTTTTCGCGTCTCCACTCCTCCTTCGAGGAGACGCTCTCTTCTGTTCGCTCCTCTTAGGCGAGCTTCTCCTTGGTGATCTCCCCCTCGGGCGGTTTTGCTCCTTCTTTGGTTCTGGTTGGGACATCCCCTCGAGTTTTGCAAACTCCAGCTCCATCTCCTCCAGATTAATGTGTTTCCTGCACCACTTTAGAACATCCTCGTATGATCGAGCTGGGGTCTTTGCCAAAGAAGTTCGGCAGGGCCCTGCTCGAAGACTCCTAATCAATCCTCCTGCCATTACCTTATCTGAAGCGGAGTTCACTTCCAAACATGTTTTATTATATCGAGCAACATACTTTCTCAGCGATTCCTTCTCCCCCTGTTTCATCGCCATGAGGGTCAAGTAAGTCTTCTCTTGTGCCACTGCGCTCGAATACTGGTTGGTGAGCTTGCTGGCAAGATCCTCGAAATCAGCAATCGATCCCGAAGGTAATTGATGAAACCAGTCAAGCGCTCCTCCGCGTAAGGTCGATAAAAAGCCCTGCAACAAACAGAATCAGAGTATCCATGTAACACCGCCATATTCTCAAAGGTCCTCACATGCCTCGATGGGTCAGATGACCCGTCATACACCAAGTTGGTCTCCTTGAAATTGTTTGGCAAAGGAGCAGCGAGAATCTC